TGAAATAAAAATCCCTATTTCTCCTGTACAAAATGAAATATAATAAGTGTGGGTGCACTTAATATGAAGGAGGTAAGTTAGGATTGAACAAACGTATAGCTCAAATTCTATCTTTTGTTTGGTCAGAATTTATACAACTGCTCCTGTCCTAAAGACACATTACTGGGAGTTTTATTGCTGGGGAGCTCTGTTACACACTCACATACCAACAACATGGAGCTCCTAGAAAAGAGGGACATTAGGATATAAAAGAGGGACAGAGAAAACGCCTTCCAAGCCGACATCCCTTTGCTATAAACTGTTACAAACCCAGACATATACACAATTACCGTACTTTACCAGATTATGGAGGGAACACTTAGGCAAAGACTTGGAAGTAGGAGATTGGAAGAATATCTTCCAAACACTCTAGCATACCACTACAGGAGATTAACTATAAATTCATATCCAAGTGGTATATTACCCCGGTGGATATACACAGATTTGACTCCAACTCACCACCAGTATGTTGGAGATGCAACTCAGATAAGGGCACCTTCCAACACATATGGTGGTCCAGGGCCGGACTGGGGATACAAAGCAGCCTTGGAAAATAAAAATCTATGCCAGCCCCATAAGCCATTGCGCCATATATTGTCGCATGTAATATGTAAGGCTATGTCTTGCCTCCCCAGATGATTGAGTAATATATATATATATATATATATATATATATCAGGGCTCAACAAATCCCAGGCACCCGGTTGCCATGGCGACTCAATATTTTGTCCTGGCACCTGGGATTGGTCAGCCCGTTCCCTCCTCCTTCTGTGTCGATCCCAGTGCAGCGCTGTGTGCGCCAGGAGGTAGTGAATAACTAATTACTTCCTTCCTGCAGAGGCATATGATGTCATATTCCGGCCCCGGTCTCATTAAGCTGCGCGCTGGGGAGCAGAGACAGCCTGCTCCCCCTGCGGCCGCCAGAAGAGCTCCCCCTGCGGCCACCATCCAAGTTCTCCCTGCGGCCGCCAGCACACCTATCTGTCTGCCCACCCACAGGTAGCAAAAAGTATGTATGTCAGTCTGTCAATGGGAGTGTGTGTGTTTGTCTGTGTCATGCTGTGTGTGTCTGTCTGTCATGGTGTGTGTGTGTATGTGTCTGTCTGTGTCATGCTGTGTGTGTCTGTCTGTCATGGTGTCTGTGTCTGTCTGTCATGGTGTTTGTGTGTCTGTCTGTGTCATGGTGTGTGTCTGTCTGTCATGGTGTGTGTGTGTGTGTCTGTCTTTGTCATGGTGTGTGTGTCTGTGTCATGTGTGTCTGTGTCACGGTGTGTGTGTCTGTATCATGGTGTGTGTGTCTGTCTGTGTCATGGTGGGTGTGTGTGCCTGTCATGGTGTGTGTCTGTCTGTGTCATGGTGTGTCTGTCATGGTATATGTGTGTGTCAAGGTGTGTGCATGTCTGTCATGGTGTGTGTGTGTGTCTGTCATGGTATATGTATGTGTCATGGGGTGTGTGTTTGTCTGTCATGGTGTCTGTGTGTTTTTAAAAATAGTGTTTTACTCACCTTTTTTTTTCTCCCAGCGACGTGCTGGTCTCCCCTCGACTGGCCCTGCCTCTATGACTGAGATCATCAAGCTTGATGATCTCAGCCAATCCGCACTGACACGGGAAGCGCCTCTAGTGACCGTCTGAGTGTCTGTCACACTAGGAAGCAATGTAAACACTGCCTTTTCTCTGAAAAGTCAGTGTTTACATTCAAAAGCCTGCAGGGACAGGCTATAGACACCAGAACCACTACATTAAGCTGTGTGTGTGTGTGTGTGCCTGCTAGTGAGTTAGCTTGTGTTTTTATGTCAATGAGCTTATGTATATCAGTGAGATTGTTTGTCTATGAGGCTGTGTATCAGTGAGCTTCTGTGTGTCAGTGAGATTGTCTGTGTCTGCATTTGAGTATGCTTACTGTATAGTTAAATGTTTTATTCTGAAAGGATCAATATTTTATATTAGAAAAAGCAATATACAATCGTTATGATGTCAATAAAAGCAAATTGAATCAAAAAAAAAAAAAAGAAAAAGCAATATATAATATATATATATATATATATATATCAGGGCTTGACAAATTTGCTTTCAATCTAGGAGCCAGCTAAAAAAGTTAGGAGCCAGCTTTTCTCCCCCCTTCCCCCCCACCCCATCCTCACAACAAAAATACAATTCTTAAAGGAACACTATAGTCACGAGAACCACTACAGCTTAATGTAATGGCTCTGGTGTATATAGCCTGTCCCTGTAGAATTTTCAATGTAAAAGCTGCTTTTTCAGAGATAAGGCAGTTTTACGTTGCTGTCCAGTAACACCTCTAGTGGCTGTCACTCAGATGGCCACTAAAGTATCTCCTATCTTAGTCCACAATGAGCAGCACCTACAGTCAGCGTTTCCACGCTCTGCATGGAGGTGCTGAACGTTACCCATAGAGATGCTTTTAATTAATTTAATGCATCTCTATGAGGAGATGATGATTGGTAATTGATAATCTGAGCTACGAAGGTGGGCCAGCTACAGCGAGACCGGTACGGCGCTGGGTAAAAGATGTGTAAAAACATAATTCCCATTGCGATCGGAGGGGGCTGGTGACCTAAACATACACATCACTGACAGACACCCGGACTGATACACACAGAGACAGGCACTGAGAGACACACACGGAAAGAGACACACACACTGACAGAGACACACTGACAGACACACACTGACAGAAACATGGAGAGAGACACACTGACAGACACACACACACACTGACAGAGACATGGAGACAGACACACACACACACTGAGAGAGACATGGAGACAGACACACACACGCTGACAGAGACATGGAGACAGACACACACACGCTGACAGAGACATGGAGAGAGACACACTGACAGACACACACTGCCAGAAACATGGAGAGAGACACACTGACAGACACACACACACTGACAGAGACATGGAGACAGACACACACACGCTGACAGAGACATGGAGACAGACACACACACAAAGTATTATTATTGATGCACTCAAATATATACATACACAAACACAAACATTCATACATACACTCAGATAAATACCCATACAGACATACACACATGACAGATATACAGAAATTAGAGAAGAAAAATGCATATTTTTAGCAACCCTCCTACCTTTTCAGCTCAGGAGGGTGACTCCCTTGGGCTCCAGTGGGACTGGGCAGCAGCAGGTGACATCTTGTTAGTGGGGCTGGCTGCAGCTAATGGGAGTAGGCAGCCGCCGTTCCAGACTCCCTGCTTCCGCCTCCTACTGTCTCTCCAGCCCCGTGTGCGCCGAGAGGAAGTGAAGGGAGCTATAATAACTTCCTCTCGGCGCTGAGGTCACGCAGGGTAAAGGGCGGCTGGCCGGCTCTGCGGCATGAGGGCGGGAGGCGGGCAGGAACGGCTCTGCAGCATGTCGGCGGGAGGCGAGCAGGGTTTGCTTTGCTTTACCTGGTGTCCTGCCAGGTTAGCTTGCCATTCCCCTGCGCTGCCTCATCATATTCCGGCCCCGGTCTAATTAACTAGCGCGCGAGGGCGGGGGAGCAGAGACAGAACAGCCTGCTCCCCCTGCGGCCGCCGGAAGAGCTCTCCCTGCGGCCGCCATCCAAGTTCTCCCTGCGGCCGCAGGTCACCAAATGTCTCCCTGGCCCAACGGGAAATTTCCCGGTATCCCGGTGGGCCAGTCCGGCCCTGTGGTGGTCATGCGGTGAGATATCGGGCTTCTGGAAAGAAGTCTGGAATACTGTCAATCTAGTGATAGACACGTCCATACCCTTCAACCCGGAGGCACTCCTCTTATACCACTACAAAATACCACACCGTGAATTCAAACATTCCCTCGTTTACTTTATGCTGACAGCGGCAAAAAGCTCAATAGTGAATCACTGGAAATCGGCGACTCCGCCCTCTAAAAAAGATTGGTATCAAAGAATAGAACATTTCCATGAGATGGAACAACTCAGATGGGGATCTTTAGACAAATATCACAGATACAAAGACATATGGCAACCATGGAAAGAATTATTGAGAGGTAGTCAGGCTGAAGACTAAAAACCATCGCATCCGCCCAGAGGGGGTGAAGCTATCCAGGAAAGGGACAGGGAATAAGGCCGGGGGGGGAGGAAGTAGGGGACACGGGATGTATTCCCCTCCTCTTTCACAACAATTCAACTACATAGATATAACAGGCTTAAGACACAGTGATACCCAGAACGAACACACTATAACTCTTTGACACAAAATAAACTACACACACAGGAATTAACGGACAAGGTTGAATGTCTACCATGACAGATATGAAAACAATGTGAAATCTAGGCCAAATATAAATGTTACTGAGAATGTCATACCTGTATTTAGTGGTGCGATGTTGCGATATCTTTCTTCTTCTTTCTCTTTCTTTTTTTTTGTTGAAATTTGTATTTTATTGGTTTTCACATCAAAAAAAACGAGGGGTGGGTGGGGTTGGGTACAGAAAAAGAGAAGGGAGGTGGGAAAAAGGGGGGGGGGTACAGTCACTTTACATCGAATCCTATGTCGGTTAGGAATATATAAAAATTGACAATTGACAATTGACAGTTGACATTTGCAGGCCTTTGAGGCGGCTCAACAGCGCACAGTAATCGGTTGATCTCTTTATGCATCACAGTACAAATGATCCGACTATCTAGGCTTACTACCCATTCCTAGGTCCCAGTCTGCTGTATACTACTCTCAGACGTAATAGTGTTCCCCACATTCTTGAGGCGATTGCCACCCCCAGTCTACCTGCGTTTAGCTTTTGTGGTTAGTTGAGTTGTTATTTTAAGTTGTGATTGGTGGGTACGTGTTGTGCGTTAGCGTTTCTCCAAGCTCGCCACTGTTCCCATGTGCTACCACTACATTTGGTGCTATTCTGCGCTTTGGAAAAGCTTGTTTCGTAAATAGCTTGCTTGTCTATGTCTTGGATGAGGGCAGGAATGCTAGGGGTGTCTGTTGTTTTCCAGAGTCGTGCGATCAGTTTTTGTGCGGTTAGCAGGACGTGGTACATTAATTTTCTCGCTTGTGTGGGTGTTTCTCTGGGTATATCTAACAGTAAAAAGGTCTTAGGGTCAAAGGGTAGGTGGATGGTGGTAGTATCTGCAATGATTTTTCCTGTGTCTTCCCAATACCTGATTAGGCGTGGACATTTCCACCAAATGTGGAGGACCGAGTCTTTCTCTTGTTTGCATCTCCAACACGTCGGAGACGCAGTGGGATACAGTTTGTGTATACGTAGCGGCACCATATACCACCGATATATTGTTTTCTGGTGTTGTTCTATAAGGGGAGCAGATTTGATCAATTTTCTAGTGGAAGATGTGATAGAAGACCACTGTTTCTCAGTGATGGGAGTTTGGAGGTCCATTTCCCATTGGTGTGCTGGAGTGGAGTCAGAAAGGGATTGGTATGGCAGAATAAGTCTGTAGCAGCCAGATAAGGGTTTGAAGGTCTGGGGTAGTTTGCCTGTGATGCCTGTTTGTTCCCAGGTCGATAGCGCACTGGCAATTGTAGTCTCATTTCTACTATCTTTATTACGTGTATGTAGAAAGGATTTAAGTTGGATGTATGAATAGCTTGATGTGTGTGGCAGGTTAAAGATCGTGTTAAGATGGTCAAAACCCATCAGCTTGCCTGATTCAAAGACCTGAGCTAGGTGTGAGATTCCCTTGTCCTTCCACGGCATTGCGTGAAATGTTGGGATGCAGTATGTTATGGCTTCTATGGGAGTTGCCATGGAGAGGGGGTTGGCTGTCTCAAACTTCCTCCTATGCGTGTCCCAAATCTGTAACGCTAGTTGTACTTGTAATGGTAGTAACGGTGTAGTTGGTCTGTTTGATTTGTGCAGCCATGTCAGGATGTGGATTGCAAAGGGCTTAACAGCTAGGTTCTCTAGGTGTACCCATTGTGGTTGGTTGTTCCTCACCAAATGTGTTAATAGAGGGGTTAAGGCTGCCGCCTGATAGTAGGCTTTTACATTTGGAAACGCCATGCCCCCGTGTTTCACTGGTGCGGATAGTAGTTTGCAAGAAATTCTCGCCCGTTTTGCTCCCCAGGTAAACTGCAGTAGCTTCGATTGTATGGTTTTAAAGTAAGATTGTGGTACCTTTAACGGGAGGTTCCGAAACACATATTGTAGTTTCGGTAGTACCGACATTTTAATAGCCACAATTCGTTCCGTCCAAGTAAGGAACAATTTTTCCCAGCCCCTTATCAAGGTCAGGCACTCATTCCATACTTTGGTGTAGTTAGTTGGGAACATGTCGGAAGCTTTTTTGGTGAACGTCAGGCCTAGGTATTTAATATCATTCGTGCGCCATTCGAATTGGTAGGTTTTACGTAGCTGTGTGAGGGCTGGGGGATCTAGGCGTAACCCTAATGCTTGTGTTTTGGAAGTGTTTAAGGAGTAGTATGAGAGACCACCATATTCCTCGATAAGGTGCATTATGTGTGGTAGGGAGGTAACAGGATGGGAAACATATAGAAGGATATCATCCGCAAATGCACTAATCTTGATTTGGCGGCCGTGCCAATTTACGCCTTCAATGTCTGGATGGGATCTAATGGCTATTAGTAAGGGCTCCAGGGCCAGTACGTACAACGGGGGGACAGAGGGCATCCCTGTCGGGTGCCGTTTGTAATGCGAAAGGGGTCTGATTTGAAGCCTGCTTGTAGTACCTGAGCCCTTGGGTGTGAATATAGGGCGAATACTTGTTGAATGAACTGTTGTGGGAATCCAAATGTCGATAAGACTTGTTTCAAGAAGGACCAACCTAGGCGGTCAAACGCTTTTTCAGCGTCCAGAGCTAACAGTAGCCCACCTTGGCCTGATCTTCTCAATTTTTCCATAATTAGGGACAGTTTTCGTGTATTGTCTAACCCCTGTCTCCCCATCACGAACCCTGTTTGGTCATCGTCTATGATTGAGGGCAGGATTTTACCCAGTCTGGAGGCCAGGATTTTTGCGTATATCTTAGCGTCTGTATTTAATAAGGAGATAGGTCTAAAATTTTTACATTGGTCCGGGGGTTTCCCAGGTTTTGGCAGGGTAACTATAGTTGCTAGTAGCATCTCAGGAGGGAGTTCTCCCGAGTCAGAAGCTGCTTGGAATATTTGGACAAGTTTAGGGCCTAATATGTCTGCAAAAGTTTTATAATACAGGTTTGGTAGGCCGTCTGCTCCTGGGGTTTTTCCTGGGGGGAGGTTCCTTATTGTTTGGAGTACTTCTGATAGAGTAATAGGTTGGAGTAATTGTTCTATTTGGTGGTGGTTTATTTTGGGGAGGGGTAGACGGGTTAGAAACTCCGTGATGTTACTGTCCTGGATGGGGGGGGTATCTGGTCTTTCGCCCAAATTATAGAGGCTGGAGTAATAGTTGGCGAACTCCTGAGTGATATCCATTGGGTTTTGTATTTTGTTACCTTCTGGGTCTTGAATATGCGCTATTTTGGTGGCTGCCAGCTTTGCTCTCAGCCTGTTAGCTAGGAGTTTGGTGGCTTTCCCGCTGTGGTGGTAGTGGGTCGCTTTGAGCTTGTGTAACATGTATGAGGTTTTGACCGCTTGTAATTCGGTGATTTTATCTAGCAGATTTTGGATTTGTAGTGCTAGGGCTCGAGAAGGGGCACCCTTATTTTGGGTAGTTAATTGTGTTAATTGCCGTTGGTATTCCATTAAGGTCGCTTGTCTATGCTTTTTAAGATATGAGGATTGTCTAATAAATAAACCGCGAACAACGGCCTTATGGGCCGACCAGGTGGTCGAGGCTGATGTTTCCCCACCTGAGTTTGTCTGAAAGTAATTGTTAAGGTCATTCTTTATTTGTTCCACAAAGTTACTGTCTTGTAGTAGGGACTCGTTTAGTCTCCAGTTCCCTCTACCTTTGAACTGATATTTATCATATAGATCCAGGGACACCGGGCCGTGGTCAGACCACGTAATGTCTCCCATTGTACATTTGGCTACTTGTGGTAATGTAGATTGGTCTACGTAGTAGGTGTCTATGCGGGTGTAGGTGTTATGTACTTTGGAGTGGAAGGAGTAATCCCGTTCTCTTGGGTGGAGTATTCTCCAGCTATCATACAGGTTATGTAATGTGAGCAGTCTAGACAGTTTTTTGCCTGTGGATACTATATTTGCTCGTCTGGTGCCTCTTGGGAGTGCTGTGGAGTCTAAGTCCGGGGATATTATAAAGTTAAAATCCCCGCACATCAACAATCCCCCCTGTCTCACCTTATCTATCTCTTTGAGGATGAGTCTGAGGAATTGTTCTGAGCCAGTGTTGGGGAAATATACAGAAGCCAATGTATATTGGACATTATTGAAGAGACCCACTAGTATTACATATCTTCCCTGGGGGTCTATAGAGACTACTTTTTCTTGAAATGCTATGGATTTATGTATGAGAATAGAGACTCCCTTCGTCTTTTTATCAGAAGTAGCGTGGTATTGTGTTGGATAAATTTTTGTGTAGAGTGCAGGGGTACGGGTGTTGGTGAAGTGTGTTTCCTGGATACACGCGATGTCTATGTCCTCGTTTTTCAGATCTTGCAGTAGTAGCCTGCGTTTACCCGGGGAGTTCAATCCTTTTACATTATACGTTATTAGTTTAACCATGGTTGTATATATAGGGAGGGGATGCTATGGAGCGTGAGCTTGGTTACTACTGGTGCTGCTGGGTCATTGCAGTATGTCAGTTTGGTAAGCCTGCGGCGGTTCTGCTGTGCCATACTTTGTGTTCGTGACTGGGGGAGAGAATGGGTAGGGTGGAAGTGGGTGGGGTAAAACTGGAAAAACTGGTGGGTGACACACCCAATTTGGCTCCGAGGAGTGGAGCCTCGAGACTCGCCTAATAGATAGGCCTGTCTAGTGGGGGTAGTGGTGATAAGGTTTTTACACATAGTAAGCCTCCACCTGAAACCAAAAGAGCATTTGAACATCAAATTGCAAAACTAACATGTCATGAACAACATTAAACTGATCTTAATAATTTTCTAAACACAGCCTCGCTATAAGGTGACATCAATGTTTTAAAATGTGCCTTCACAGTGGGATAGTCTCAATAAACTTCTAAACACAGCCTCGCTATAGGATGGCGTCATGGCTAGTATGTGCCGTTATCTTGCCTGCGCCCCCGTGGGGGAATAGTAGAAAAGCTTATTGGGCAGCGCCGCATTCTAACCAGCAAGTACTGCTGCTTGTTGCAGGTCAGGTAGGTTGAAGTATAACAATAATTAACAAATACATTTTGGCTAAGTAAGCATTAAGCTATAGCCCTGTAACTTGAGAGTTCTAGCATTTTAACTTGCACAATGGTTTTGGAATAGTTACGCGTGTTCCAGGGGAAGGGCAGTCTTTCGTTTGACAGTCCATTCCAGTGACATCTTGGGCACTTTTGTTTTAGTTGGTTCTGTCGCCGGTTGGGGAAGCCCCCAATCTCTTAGTTTCTGGACGCCTTGCTTCAGGGTCGTGATGGCGTGTATGGCCCCTTGGTGGGAGATCAGAAGTTTGGCAGGGAATCCCCATCTGTAATTCAGGTCATGCTCCTGCAGGGTGGAGGTGATCGGCGCCATTGATTTCCTGAATTGGAGAGTGTCCGCTGATAAATCCGCGAAGATTTTGATGGAGTTGTATTCGTTCGGCATACCTGGGTTTCTGCTAACCCGCATGATCTTATCTTTAGCGTGGAAGAAGTGTATTCTAGCGATTACATCTCTCTCTGCAGTTTGCGGCAGGTGTTTCGGTCTGCGCAGCCTGTGCACCCTGTCGATTAATAGTTGATCCGGGTGTATTTCTGGTACTAGGCTCTGGAGCAGTTTTGAGAGATAATGTTGGAGCTCGGCGTTTGTAATTGTTTCTGGGATTCCTCTGAACCGCAGATTGTTCCGCCTTGCCCTATCCTCCATGTCAGCTAGCTTTAGCCTGTGTACTTCCAGAATGTCGTCCAATTCCTGGACTTTGTCTGCTAAGCTGTTATGTGCTTCTGCATGTTCGTCCATTTTGGACTCCACTTGAGCTGTGCGGTTTCCTATTTCATGTATGTCTCTCTGTAAATCAGCAGTTAGAGCCTGAATTTGCAGCTGTATGCTTTTCTGTATATTATCTGAAAATTCAGACATTAGGGCACGGATACCTCCCATCGTAGGTGGCTGGTCTTCTGTCTGCCGTTTGGGGGATGATTTGGGTGAGGGGGAGTTTTCCCGCGGTCCGAAGTCGCCGCCATCTTGCGCAGTCTCCTCTCCCTCGCGCTGCTTGGATGCCGCGAGTTTCGTGCCGAAAAAGGAGGCACGCTCTGCCTTCCCAGCTTTGTTTTTTGGGCGCTGGGACATGTTGTGTGCCTTCCCCAGGTGACCCGGGTATGTGCCGCTTATTATTCCGGTTGTTGTGTGCTCGTTTTGGAATCTGCGCCGGGAGCCGCTCCTACATGCGACCGTTCAGCTCCGGCGTCAGGCCACGCCCCCTTTCTCTTTCTTTTTAACACTACGTTTTGTGTTATTACAATGTTATAATACAATGTCATACTTTGCTCCTAAAATACAGAGAAACGCAGACAAAAAAAACCCAACAAAAATAAAATATATAAATAAAAGAGGGACAGAGGGATTTGGGCCCAAAATAGGGATTGTCCTACCTTCCAGGCAGAAGGGGCTCTGGTATAAGTGAGTGTGATTCATAGAAGATAGATTTCACTACTTTGTTAATTTAACATATATAATCTGCGTTATAACATCCCCAGGACGTACTTAAAAACCAGAGTAATCTGAATGTTCTTTGTTTTTATTATTATTATTATTATAAAGTTTTATTTTTTTCAGAGGTATAGAACATGGCATCAATGCTGAGTATATGTTAATATGTAATGATAAATCACATACTTAAAGTCTATACATAATGTGTATACTGTTTCCTGTGTTATAGATTGTAAAACAAATTGGTATTGTAATTACCTCTTTATTGAAAAACTTTTTTTTTTGTATTTATTTTCTCAAGTATTTGATTTTTGCATTATTATAGAATTTTATGGATTAATAAATGAAGTCGATTGATCTTTTAACTAGTGTAATCCTATGTAGTATTTTTACTACAGGAATAATTAAACAGATTTAACCTGTCTACCATAGCAAAAGACTAGCCAGATCCACGACATTCTTCGCACTGATGGGCAGCAGCTAAAGCCTTCTGCCCTGCTGTATGTAGAATTCATATGTTGCTGGAGAAAAATCAATTCTTCCTTATTTTTATTATTATTGCTATTTATATAGCGCCAACAGATTCTGTAGCGCCTTCTAAGATTATTACATTCACTGCCACCTAGCAGCATTGAATTTGGCATAATAAAAAGCAGTACTTTTCATGTGAATGCAGGAGTGATAGGAGTCCAGGTAAACATGATGGGCCTGCTAATCCTCATGGCAGTAACTAGGAAAATAACAACATTATTAATATTATATTACATTGTGCTTATTGTGAATAAATAAATAATTTGATGTGAAATGATAATCCTCATAGCAATATCCTAAATGAAAATGAATGTAAAAAACACTATGTGGAAGCCAGTTTGAAATAACCAGTTTATAAATAATAAAGAGATCAGCAGACATGGAGGTGATGGTGGTAACACAGGCAGTCTGCACTGTCCTGCCATGTGGTCAGTGTGGCTGACACTGCTCCTTTAAGAGGCTGATCAGCTGATCCCAGATAGGCGTGTGTGAGGTAGGCTGTGCTCTGGGATAGATTGCGCGGCCTGGTGGGAGAGCTCTGGGATTACAGACAGCTGATGCCTGCTTTACTGGAGTCATCCTCCCTGCTGTCACCATCATGGATTTCAATGTGAAGAAGCTGGCCTCAGATGCCGGGGTGTTCTTCACCAGGGCTGTGCAGGTGAGTGCCATTAAGACAGTGTGTCCCAGTGAGCTGCCCTACACCCCCCCCACCCCCTCCCTCTGCAGCAGCAGCCTCAGCCTCCTCTGACAGTTGGTGCTCAGCATCCCTCCATCTTTGCTGCACTGTTAGCACAGCCTCAGCTCTCTGCCTGGCAACCTCTCACCGGGCACACTGGCTCTCTGGCCGCGGGCAACAGACCCCCATCTTATTACAGGGTGTCCCCCATCTTATTACAGGGTATCCCCTGCCCCCCCATCTTATTACAGGGTATCCCCCATCTTATTACAGGGTATCCCCTGCCCCCCCATCTTATTACAGGGTATCCCCTGCCCCCC